TTTGACAACTTTTCTTTCAGTGGGGTTTACTAACTACGCCTGCACAGAAGTCATTAATTAACACAGCAAATAACACTATCCATTTTCATTTCAGTGAAATGAGGACTCAATTCACTTGCAGAGCATTCTGAAGGCAAAACTCTACATTTTGACAATGGTTTCCTCTTTTCAAAACTTTCACAGTTGTCTTACCCAGACCTAATTCCACAGCATTTTTTTTTCTGTTCTTACCCAATCTTTTTTCAAGTATTCAACTTATTTTCATAGACTGCAACTCTATTTACACTCCCATTTGTTCAATTTTGCTAATAATGAATTAAATTTTATCATTCCTAAGTACTTCTTGCATAAACAAGTTTGGAAACTGAAATCTGGAAGGCATAAACTGTATTAGGGAGTAAAGAGACAAGCCCACCAGGGGACCAGCTGTGAAAACTGGGTGGGCCTTGAGCATAGAGCATTATTTTCCTTGGAGAACCAGACACTTAAGACACTAACTCAAAGGTATGAGTCATAGAAAAGCTAAGTAGGTTTAAGAAATGGAAAACCTAAGTTCAGAGACTTAGCATTCAGATCCACATGAAGTTAGTGTTGAAATGCTATTGAGAGGAACACTAATAAAGATAATTTGATCAGGCCTTCCCTGGTGGCACAGTGGGTTAAAGCACAGCACTAAGAAACTAAAGCCACTTCAGCATGAGTTCGATCCCCACTCCCCCAGAGGTGACCCACATGGAGTGGCAGACCTCTCCTGACCCACCCGCTGCTCCCCTCAGCAGTGTGCTTCATCAATCTGCCTGTTCTGCTTCCCACTCTGTCTCTGGTGAAGCCACTCACTGCCCCTGCACTTCTGGCTTGTACCCTAGTTCTGTATGCATAAATAAATAAATCTTAAAAAAAAAGAAAGATAATTTGATCAAACTGTTCTTTGCAAGATGTCTAGCAGGACCAGCAGCATTTCTCTGTGGGAAGACAGAGGAATTCAATGCCTGAGTCCCCATTTGAATGTGTTGTGTGTCACTGAGTCTATTTTCAGTTAATGCTCCACAATATAAAACTATATTATTTTGAAGCAAACAGAAAAGGAACTAATCCTAGTTTGTTGAGTGAAAGAAGTCTAGAGGAGACTTTATATGGGTTGGCCTAAATTTCAGAAGTATCCATTTGCTAATTAACAGGGGAAAAACTAGCCTGTTTCCTAGTGCCTACTTGTGATATAAGAGCAAGTATGCAATGGGAATTATAGAGCTTTAAAGTCTCTGAAAAATATCATCATCTATATTAGTGGTTGGAATTACTCGAAGAATTAGTCACCAAAATGCCTGAGTGAATTATGGAATTAGAAGCACTTCTTCACTCCTTAAATTGTCTAAAAGCAAAGTATATTGCTTATATAAATTAAACAACAATTCACCACCACAGTGAGTGATAATAAGCAGACCAGTTGAAAGTTTTAGACAAAATGACCTACAGCTTCAACATGAGGATCTTTTTTTTGGTAATACTTACTAAATTCAGTGGGAAGACCTAACAATTCATTTAAAAATTTCTATTGTTTTATATTATCCCTAAGAAATTTGAAAAGCAAAGACTTTAAGCAAGGCAACTCCATAGTTCTTTTCCTAACTAGTATTTAGGAAGCCTCCTGAATTATAGAATCTCTATCTTAAAAGGTTTAGCAGGGCCCTCCCTGGTGGCACAGCCGGTTAAAGCACAGCACTAAGAAGCTAATGCCACTTCAGCATGAGTTTGACCCCCAGCCCCGGAGGTGACCCACATGACCAAATACCAGTTATCAGAAATAGTGCACTGACAGGATGCTCTCTTTTTCAGTCACTATATGTAGTCGTATAGTTTTCTAACTTGAGCCATGAGTATTCTTACCAAAATTAAGTCATTCGAATTGGGAACAAAGGCTAATTTGTCCCTGACATTTTCAGAAGTTCAAATATACTTTTACTTTCTATTACCTACAACTAAAAAGGAAACTTTGAGAGAAAATATTTATGTATTTAATGTCTTAGTACTAGTCAACATCTATTGATCAAAAATTGAAAATATATTCTATTTAGTATATGCATTTGAATTATTAAAAAACCCTAGAATCCTCCATATTTTGACATTATATAACTAAATAGAATTAAAGCAGGGACAATAGTGATTAATATATCAAAATAATTTCGTAAGCTTATAAACATAGCAAGAATACTACCCCATTCTCTTTGGCTTTGCATTCTCTGACAACATCTGGATTACTTCTGCTTTACTAAAAAGAAAAACATTTTTTTTCTTGGGAACAAAATGAAGCTTAAATTAATTCAATAGCTGCTGAAATTTTAAACAACTAAAAATCCACAAATGAAAAAGGTAAAAACCATAGCTAATACATAATAAAAATTAAGAGTTATTTTAGAAAAGTTAATGCAGCAAAAAAATGATTAAAGTATGCACACTAACAATCCTGTTATCAACATTTTTATTTAGTTCAGTGTATACCAGACTAGAAATACACAATAATATGCTCTTTACGATGGGTAGTTTTTATATATAGCTAAAATTTATGGCTAACATTTTATATAACAAAAAAACAAACTTGTAAATTATCATAAAAGGAGTGAAGATATAGGAAAATAACACATTTTATATAAATTATAGGGGGCAGTTACAATGAAAATCTATTTATTACTTTCTTCAAAACTCAATTTACAAAAGAAAGTCAACAGGTTCCATGAACTGCTAAGAGTGTTATCAACAACTTCAGCTCTTTCAAAAGACAAAGTGTTATCCTTTCATATACTGTTCTCAGTTCTTAACTGGAGTTGAGCTTCCTTTCGTAGTCTTCTTAAGGTGGTGGTAGTTTGGCAAGATTTTCATCAGGAAATCCAGCTGTAGTGTCTGGGGCTAAAAATATAATTAA